ATGCCGCCGGAGGCGGGGAGAGTCTGCTCTGATACCGAGGCTCTTTCCGCACCAGCTGTCATCCTAGGAACGTGACACTGATCATTGTCAGGGAGCCGTTTTCCTGGGGACTGTCCTGTGCGTGTCTTCACATCCTGTAAGCAGGGACACTGCCATGGTTCTAGACTGTCTTTCCAAGGACGCTTGGGCAGCAAATGTCCCCAGGAGGTACTCAGCGTCTCCCTCCAGAGCAAAGGGCAGGTGGGCTTCCTGTCCACTCGGCTCAGGCGTCCGGGGCTGGAGTGCCATCCACAGCGTGTGCAGGTGCCAGCTGGCCCTCGGAGGGAAATTTCGAGGTTGGCACGAAAACTAAAGAACCTAGCAAGGCTCAGTGAGTGTTTCTAGCCATTATCGTTTGCCTTTCTTTCCCACAAGGCTCTGTACTCCTTCGAGGAAGTTGGCGTGTTTTGTCTTTGTATCTCCCAGCCCAGGTACGAATGAGGGTTTGCAGAATGAATGGATGAGTGAGTGAGTGCGTGAGTGGACGGATGAAGAGGCTTCTCCTCTGCCCTTCATCCCGGCCATCCTCCTCAGCCCTGCTTCTCCCGTTGCTGTGACTTTCCCAGCTCCCCACACCGTAGCCAGTGCTTCACCCACTGACCTGGCCAGCCAGCCCCTTGCCTGGCTGGAAGCCCCTGCTGCAGGCAACAAGCTACGGCTACTCTGTCTGTGGGCTGTGGGCTTGAGCGCTGGGGGGATCCCGGATCCTCGCCCAGGCCCCGGCCTCTCTCAGACCAGCCCCGCTGCCCGCCCAGCTTGGCCTTGTCCTCAGCTCCATTCCCACCTTCGTGACCGAGCAGGGACCTGCAGTTCGAATGTGCACGCAGCCCAGGCCCCCACACCCCACACTGCCGGTCACCAGGTCACCGCGGAGCCAGCAAACGAGAGGTTTGCTTCTCACATTCGCGCCTATGAGGCTGAAAGGGGAGACAGAGCAGGTGCTCTGTTAGTATTTACTCGGTAAATGAATGGGCCGCCCTTGAAAGCCAGTGCATTGCCTCCTTATATTGTTTGTCAGCCTCCGGACGTCACAACCCCCGCCCCGGTGGACAGCCTGGCCACACACTGTGCACCATGCACAGAAAACTTGCAAAAGGGCATCTGCTCCACCTGCACTTTTGACCCACAAACCACTACTCACCTTCTCTGTAGCAATGTGGACGGGCGAGCCCGTTGGCACCCTGCCGGGGAAGCTGGCTGGCAGTGACTAGCTGCTTAATGTAAAGACTTTGGGGCCCGCTCTTCACGTGGCCGAGAGAAAGGGACATTCACCGAGCAAACTGAGGTGCTAAACCTGTGACTCAGGGGCCCCAGATCCATCATCAGTCTGGGAACCTTTTATTCTCCGTTGCATCAGTTTCGCCTCACCTCCGTTTGCCTGAAGACAACTGGACCTTTTTTTTTTTTACTTTTAAAGAATAATATTTAACTGGATGTTTTGCGCCATTGCCTGCCTCATAGTCAGACGGTGCCTTCATTTGTTTGTTGATATCTCCCTTCACTCCAAAAAAGGTCTGTGTCCATCTATAAGGATGTATGCAATAAGACAGACAACAAGGCTCTAGCAAAACACAGGCCTTATTGGTGGAAGTAAAACAAAACCAGGACTGGTTGCACATCACAAAACTGGCTACAGAGTTGCCCCAAGGATGTTGCCATTCCAGAATGCTCCAGGAAGTTGCAGGGCGGGCTGTTGAGTCATGGGGGCGGGGGTCCCCCATGGGCAACAATCTTTCCAGAAAGCCGTCCAGGGGTCTCAAATTCAGGTTAGCGCCTCCTAGGGAGCAGATGCGGCTTCCATAAGGAACCAAAGACCTGGCTAAGGCAGCTCAAAACACGTAACATTGTTTTGATGAAACACAGAATCTTTGCCTTCAAGGCAGATGGCTTTTCACAGTACCTTATCGGGAGCAGACCACTAGGACAGGAAAACTGTTTTATTAGCAGAGAGAATCAAACACTGATGTTGCATCCACGCACCTTTGATATTTAAATTCACCTTATGAAATTCATTCCTACCTGATTCAGCTTGATCACCCATAAAATGTCCTTTCCCAAGATTTATTTTCATACACTTTTTACAAGGTTCTTAGTCCCTTTGAGGTTGTGTCTTGTTCCCTTACCCACTCAGAAATGACCAGGACACATCGCTTCCACGTGCAGCGGGGGCTGCAGGGCAGTGGAGTACCTCGTCTGGCAGGGAGCACCTCCTGGGAAGAGCAGGCACCAGGCAGCCGTGCCCCGCCACGGCCTCCCAGCCAGGGGAAGAAGAGCCACAGGCCGCCTCTCCCCTGCTTCACGCGAACTCTGTGCCTCTGTGCCCCCTGCTCCCCCGCCCCCACCCTTGGAATGGCCTTGTGAGGTTGGCAGCCGACTTGAATTCCTAAGACCTGGGTTCAGGTCGTACTGGCTGTATCGCTGAGTAGTATGTGGCTCTGGCCACGGCTTCCTCCTCTGTGAAATGGGCGTAAAGGAACACTCCTGCCCGCTTCACAGGATGATAATGTGGCTGGAATGCGACAAGGCTCAGGCACGTCAAAGGCCCCAAAAACTCCAAAGCACTATGTAAATGTACAGCGTTATTATGACCCATCGGCACCCCGTATGCAAGGTGGTCGAGGCGCCAGGAAAGACACAGCCACTCACTCTGGCCTTTGCTTTTCTGGAGGGAGGGAGCCATGTGGCTCGGGAGGTGGACACTGAAATGGGGAACCCATGGGCATTATGCCCGAGTAGCCGAACATTCTGGAAGCCCACTGACCCCAGAGGCCACACATGGGAGCGATGCGGCCTGGATGGTGCACAGGATCCCAGGGGTTCTGGAGGCCCGGGTGCAAGGCCAAGGTGCAAAGCTGCCCAAGACCACTGGAGAAGAACCTGAGTCCTCTGCAGACAGACGCCCCACTTGGGGCACTCCTTCCGCTGCTCTGAAGTACATCCAAGAAGCAGCTGGCCCTCAGGGCGGGCACTGTGTGGAGCTGGGAGAGATGGCTCCACTTACACCTGCTTCATTAGCTTGAGTCTGGCCTGCCCGGGCCCCCAGGCATAATCAGTCTATTAATACATGTACCGAATGCCTGCAAGGAATCGATGCACAGCCGTGCAATGAAAACACTAACGATCTGATCGGGAGGGTCAAATGCAGGACGGATGCATGCTTGGTAGATAGAATGATTGATTCATTGATTAATGGTAGAGCTAGAGATGATAAGTGTAGGAGCTTAATGATAGACAGAGGGTTGGATGGACTAGTACAAACATGAGAAAATACTAACGACATCAGGATGAAAAGAACCATTGATGGAGCATCTGTAATGTGCCGGGCGAGTGATACCGGGAGTTTCAGAAGCGCTATCACACCTGTGGTTCCTGAATTCTTGCACTAACTCTGTGAGAAACCATCTCCACCGACTGTCAGACCAGGAAACCGTGGTCCCGAGAAGTTAAGCAACTTGCCCAGAGCCCTCCCGCCAGGCAGCCTGTGGCCTTTCATCTAAGGCTCCGTGTTCCTGAGCCAGAGGGAACCCCCCACACGCTCCTGCCTCCCAGCTCTGCAGTGTCTCTGTTTCTTTCGAGCCTTTGTTTTATGTGACGACTTCTTGGAAATCCTGAGAAAATCCCCTAACCACTTCCCATTCACTGAAAGCCTGAAGCCCGCTCCTCCGCCCGTCCTGTTCCACCACCTTCCAGGCGCCCAGGTGAAGGTGAGGCCCTTCAGGAGAAATCAGAGAGCTTTCTCTTCAGAGCCTACCCCCCAAAACCAGACGGAAATGTTCGTGAGTCTGGGCCTCAGGGACGCACTAGAGAAACGAGCACAGAGCCAAAGGCGTCTCTGGGGTGCTGTGCACCGGCCCGGCCCCTCCGCCACCCTCCCTCCGCCTTTCACTTTCTGCAGCGCCGCTCTCTCCCTCCACTTCTCTCCGTCTGGTCTCTCCACTTTCCCCTCCAAGACCGATTGCGGGGGCGGCGGGGGGGGGGGTGTTCTGGGCAGGAGCTGCGATGTCAGGAGGGTGGCGGGGGACATCTCACCACTGCCTCAGCTCCCAGGCCCCTCCGCTGGCCTCCCCCCACCCCTGCCAGCTGCTAGCTCTGGGAGGTGCAAAGCCAAGCCACCAGGTCATTCCCATGCCTTCCCATGGGGCTGGAGCCAGGAGCACTTTTCGGGCCACTGCCTGTGGTGACAGGGTGTCGAGGGCTGGGCGAGCACCGAGGAAGCAGGTCTGTTAGGAGGTTGGGCTGGCCATGGGGAGCAGGAGCTCCTAGAACGACTCTTGGGGGGATTGAAGACTCCTCTGTGGGAGAGCGGGGTGGGGTGGAGAAGGAGGAGAGACCTAGAAATGTAGCCAAATCTCTCCCAGCGTCTCTCCCACCTGGTGCTGGCCTGGCTGCTCAGCCTCTCCCCTCCGTTCCCTTGGCCCCTGGTTCCCTTTGAAACTTCCCAGCCTGAAAAATGCGTGTGCCCGGCCTCTGTGGGTCTCTTTTTGCATAGACTGGGCTTTCTGTTGATCCCCAAAATGCTCTTGTAACGAACAACCAGGAATTAGAATGTTAGAAATGGTGAAGTTCTATCTTATAGATGGGAAGCTGGGGACGAGAACTGAGAACTCGCTTGCCCAAGGTCATATATACTACGAACGCCCCTTCCAGGATTAATTATATCAGTATAGAGCGGTGTCCTCCACGTTCAGCCCACCCGAGACTCTTCCAGGCAGGGTGGGTGGGACGTGCACTTTACTGGACTTTCATGGGTCTCGGATCTCGAGAGTCTTTTCTGTGGTCTGGGAACACAGCTGAGACACAACTCAGAGTCAAACCCCTGGCAGCCAGCAGTCACAACAGGAGCTGGGCCAGTTCCACAGGCTCCCGGGATGGGCTCAGAGCTCCACCCAGGGGAGGGGCTGCAGGAGGCTCCGCCCACCCGTCTGCCTAACTGGCCCTGCAGCTCAGGGTTTCCCAGGGAGAGGGCCACTCCACCACCAGAGAGTGGCTGTGTGCTGGCGTCCCAGAGGTGAGGGCCGAGGATGGAGAGCATCTCGGGGACCCAGAAGATCGTGCCCTGCCTGAAAGCTCAGCCTGACAGCCTGAAGGCCCTGCCCTAACGCAGCTTTGGCAGCTGCCTGGTAAGAGAACTGCTGGGCCCCCTGCTGCTTGGAGGGAGGAGAGGGAGAGACCCAGAGACCACAAGCCCTGCTGGGGCAGAGGGGAGGGGACAGGGCCTGGAACAAGCCCAGCACCCACTTCGTCTCGGGGCTCGCCTTTGTCTGAAGAACTGCCGAGGGCTGTCCCATGCACAGTGGAGGGAACTACACCCCAGGGAGAAGCCAGACAATGTCAGAGCAAGTGGCCGAGCCTAGATCCAAGCTCCCCCTGTCGGACACGGGGGCCACAGGGGTCCCCCTCTGCTCTGCGGACCAGGGCACCCACCACACGACTTGGCCTTCTCTGCTTTTCTTAAGAAGGACCCGGGGCCGTAACGCCTCTGCCCTTCTCAACCCGGTCGGGGCTTCACTCTCGCTTCCCAGCAACGGCTCCCTCTCCGCTGCAGCGGCTGCGGGCGGGGGAGCGGGGCCTGCGGAGAAAGCAGCTCGGGGGTCACAGTGTCTGGGTGCTGGGGATTCTGGGGACGGGAGTGCCAACCCACCCCTGTGGGAACTAACTACCTGTGCTTCTGAGAGCCAGTCCAGAGGAAGGTGCCATCGGCCACCAAGGTGACTCTGACCCCGTCCTTTCTGAGGGGTGCCAAACTGAGTGACCGCAGAACGACCCTCCAGTCAGCTCAGCCCCTGGGTGGCAGCCTGCGGGTGTCCTGGAAGGATTCTGTGCTTCGGGTCCTCCGAGTCACAGGGGATCGCTGAAGTCCCCGTGGAAGACACAAAAGGGAGAGGAGAATGAAAACTAGAGTGTTCTGAGCACTTTCTCGCCCCATGTGTCAGGAGGGAAAACCGGGGCGCTGAGAGGTTAAATGACTCGGGTGCGTCTGAGCCCAGGGCTCTGTCTGCTCCGGTGACGCCTCCTTCAGAGGAGGAGCTGCAGGTGGGGGAGGGCGTGGGCGTCAGTCCTCGGACCCTCGTACACTCGATGCTGGGATGTGGGGGCAGAGATGGGGATGGGGGACGTGGACTAAAGGGAGAAGGCTGGCATATGGTCATTGGTGGACTGATAGCGTTTTATCTGTCACTGACATGTCCGATGGGCGAGAAGGGCTGGGGCGGAGAAGCATGGCGGAGTGCGGAGTTAGCGGAGTAAGACCTTCGAACACAACTCGGTCTTCGTACAGGGGACGGGCGCCGCGTAGGCGCGTGCGCGCTGATCGTAGGAAATGCCTTGCAGCGTGACAAAGACAGCCAGACCTGTAGGAACTGACGTGGGACTGTGTCGCTGATGCTGGGGACAGCATGCGGCCTGGTGCCCTGGTGAAAAGTGCGGGGGGTCAGCTTGCAGGGGTCAGCTCCGCCCCTCGCCTCCTTTGCCGCCCTAGGGCTCTGTGTACCCTCTCCAAGCCTCAGCCTTTTCCTTGGAGAGTGGAGAGAATGGTGCTAATACTCCCAAGAGTGGTTGTGAGGGTTCGAGAGATTCTCAGCACAGTGCAAACCTGCATTCAAGTATTTTTTTAAATGTTTGCTGTTCCCATTAAGCCAAAAAGTAAATAGCACAAATGCATGCTACCACCCCACTTTTACTTTTTAATTTTTCCTCCCGTAAAGATGTCTGTGTGTACAAATATACAGGTGTGTACACGGATAAACAGCTGTTAACAGCGGTTCTCTCTCGGGGGCATGAGACTGGACAGAAGTCGTCAGGGAAGGACTCCCATTTTTTCAATAGACTTAAATTTCTACAGAAGTTTTAGGTTCACAGCAGGACGGAGCCTCCCAGAAGCCAAGTTTCCTCACTCTCATTTGTTAAATCTACTTACTCTTCTTTTTTAAGATGCTATTTATTCCTTAAGGAGATTGGGGGAAGGGAAAGAGAAAAAGAGGGAGAGAGACATCGGTGTGTGGGAGATACATTGATCAGTTGCCTCTCACATGCCCCCAACTGGGCACCCGGCCTGCAACCCAGGCATGTGCCCTGACTGGGAATCAAACCAGTGACCCTTTGGTTCACAGGCCAGCACTCAAACCACTGAGCTACATCAGCCAGGGCTGGAGACTTACACTCTTAACTTTATACCTGGTTTTTACTTTCTATCTGGTTTTTATTTCTTCAGTGACCATGTGTTTTTATTTTAAGTAAAATAACATTAGTTAATGAATGTCTGGATCACATCCAGCACCCCCAGAATGGCTAGATTCTAGAAAGTGGCCTGGTTCACAGAGGTAACCACGGAGGAGGGGTGGCCTGCCTGGGAACGGGCCCGAGCTCCGCCTAACCACCCCCACTCTGCTGTCACCAGCATGGCGTGACTCGTCACAGACTGCCTGCTGCTCTCTCAGAGGGACACCTGACAGCAGGTCCCACAGCCAGCGAGGCCACGCCTACCCTGACGGTGCTGGCCGTACACAGTGCTCAGCGCTCGCCGCACCAGCCGAACGGCTTCGGAGCATCCCAGAGGCAGGCCTGGGAGGTGGGAAAGCGGCCATGGCCTTGGACCACAAAGGAGGCAGCCAGCCTGGATCCAAAGTTCCCTCTGACATTCACCAGCATAGTGACCCTCCCGTGAGCCTCTGCTTCCTTGTGGCGATGCAGGCAGATATTGGGAGTTTGGGTCCAGACCGCCTGGCACAATGGGGGTTAGTGTATAGTTTGGGGTGCCCTTCCTGGCAAAGCCAGGACAGGACCAGAGTAAGGTCGCTCTTGGGGCTAAGGACAGGATGGACCCGCTGCGGTTCTGGTGCTGGTGAGCCACCCTCCAGCCTTCATCTGGGTTGGATTTAAAACGTGATCCTCTGGAAGGACCCTTTAAAAATGAAGTCATTCTGGGAAGGCCCGCGGGAAGCAGGCGCCATAACTGAGACACATGGAAAGAGGCTGCTCCCCACCCACGGTGAGCAAACGCTGCCACCGACAGTTCATGGCCGAGAGGAGGTGAGCCTCTCCGGCCGTCCGCCTCCCACCTGCCCATCTGTTTCCCCAGGCGACTCCTCTCCGGCGCCTCTGCACAAACGGCTCCTCAACATGAGACGCAGTCTCCACTTGACCTTCATGTGTCTGAGTCTCTTCGCTGGAAGGTGAGCCTCGCTTCCCCACGGTGGCCTTGGTCTGAGCTGCTGTGTGTCTGCGCACACGAGTGTGCTGGCAGAGGTGGCAGCCCCCCTGCTCCCGGGCGCGTCACCTCCCCGACGCACCAGGACAGGGCAGCGTTCTGCCGTCGACTCTGCCTGGGGAACTCACGCTGCCAGAACGGCCGTGAATGGACAAACGCCTTCTGGTCTGGGGGAAGATGCTCGGAGGGTCCCCAGATTATCACCATGTGGCAAGTGGGTGATAAAATGGAGTGGGACGGGGACCTGTCCATCCGGCGGCTGAAAAGGAGAGATGTCTCCTTGGGCAAGTCACCGCTGGCCCGTGGGCACGGCCACACACATGCGGGCAGAGCCCGTGTCTGTGCGCACGTGCGGTGCACGCATAAACAAGCACGTGGTGCCAGCTGCCTTCTTTTCCAGGCTGTGCGCCCGGGGGAGTCGGTTCAACGTGGAGGTCAGCAGAAGTGACAAGCTCTCCCTGCCTGGGTTTGAAAACCTCACTGTGGGCTACAACAAATTTCTCAGGCCCAATTTTGGCGGTAGGTCCTCTTTTTTTTTTTTTTTTTTTTTTTGTCCAGGGCATCCATTCACAGGGCAGGAGCAGAGGAGGGCTTTGGGAGGGTTAGCTAGCCCCGCCTCCCGACCTGCAGCCTGTTAAGGACTGGCAGTGACGGACGAGCGCAGCCGCCAAGGGCGGCTCCCCCCACCCTGGAGAAGGCACCGTGTCCCCCCCGGCCCCCGCCTGCAGGATAAAGAGAGACTCCTCCCCACCGAGGTTTCCCCGAGCCGCCCAGAAACCTCACACACCGCCTTCCTTCTGCCCCCAGTTCCAGCGCCATTATTCACAGGACGCGCCCGCTGTCCCCTCTCCCCAGGCCGGTGCCGCCTGGTCTTCCTGCCTTCGGCCTCTGCCCCCCTCCCCTCTGCCAGGGGTAACCTCCACTCTGCCACCTGGATCACCTGCTGGGTCCTTTGCCTGCTCAGAACACCTGCCGGTGCCCCAGCATCGTCGGCGTAGAGCCCCAAGCCCGTCGCATGGCCCGCCAGGCCCTACCCGGCCCAGCCTCTGTCTGTCTGCCTGCCGGTCATAGTCCACCCCCGTGCCCTCCGCACAAGCGTGCCCCGCGTGCCCCCTGACCTCCTTGGCCTCCCTGGCCCCCATGGCTTTCGCTGAGGTCACGTATCTGCCAAGAAAGGCTTCTTCCAGCTTGACTCCCTGGTGAAATGCCCGTTTCCTTCCAGGTCTCAGAGCAAAGGCTTCCTCCTCTGAGAAGCCGCCCCAGATTCCCCCAGCCCCTCCCCTTTCTTCACACTCCGTGTTGAACAGACCTCTCAGTCCTAGCCGTCTCCCGGTGGAGCTGTCTCGGTCGCCGGTTTGATGTCTGTCTCGGCTCTAGGCTGCAGGCAGCCCCCGGGGGAGTCTTGCTTTACCCACCTCACTCACACCAGCAGCGGCGCCGTGCTTGAACCATAGGAAGTTACTGATGTTTGTTGAAAGAATGAGGCCAGAAGGGAGGGCGTGAGGCCAAGCACACACCTCCGCGCAGAGCTCAGGCCCCTCTGACAAACTGCGAGAGTAAACCGAGGTGGCCTCTAATGCCCCATTGCACAGAGCAGGAAGTAGTGGGAAGAGCCTTGGATTTGATCAGAGCTGGGTTTGGCCCCTGGCTCTCCTGCCTGGCAAACACCTTAGCTTCCTGAGCCTCAGTTTTCCTTTCTGGAACATGGGGACGTGCCCCCTGCCCCCTGCCCCTGCGCTCCCCCCCACAGGGCGGACAGAATGCAGTGAGGCGTATCCACATGAAGCGTGGTCCCTGCCCTGTCGTCAGGGCGCAGTCTGTTTCAACCCCCACCCCTTCCTGCTCCTCCGGGCAGGTGCTCAAATCCCCTGGTCAGGCCTAGGATGGCGGGTTAGTCCAGGTCCCCTGAGAAGCAGACTGAGAGGACCACCTGTACAAGACCCTCGTTTGGGCAATGCCGATGAAGGAATATGGGGCGGGAAAGGGGGGAGGAAAGGACCCGGCGAACTGTCAGACTGTCCTACAGGGCCAACCCCGGGGCGGGGGTGGGAGGAAGGTCGGGTGTCTTGGGGGTGTCTTAGCAGTGGGGCTCCCAGCGTGCCCGGAGAGACTCCCTGGGAGTCCGTGAGCCAAAGTTCCCATCAGAGAAGTCTCCTACCCCTGGGCCTCCCAGGACGGGCCTGCCTCGGCCCCGGCCACACTTAGTCACAAATGTGGCTACGATTTCAGAGCACAGCAGCTGGGGCCCTCGGCCAATCACACCTCCATCAGTAAGAGGTCTGAAGTGCATTGTTCACGGCCACACCGTCAGGATTGCAGGTCCTTACGTTAAGGGATCTTGAGGGGGCTGGGGGGGAGGGGGCTTCAACCTCCCCTGGCTTTCCCAGGCCCAGCTGGACACTAACAACAGACGTGTGAGTGTGTGCACCTGGGTGGTCCTCCCATCAGTGTCTCTGCCTCCCAAATCCCCGTTAGGCTGGGATGGAACATGGTCCCTCTTACTGCCTGCTCACTGGTCAGCAAAATGCAGGGTCCTTGGATAAGGGGCTTATTCTGAACCGAGAGTGGACATAAGGGGACATGAGGCCCCATCCCCCCAGGGTGAAAATGTGGCAAGGGGTCCTTGGTCCAAAGGCACAAGCCCCCAGCCCCCTTTTTGGTGCCTTTTGGCCCTTCGACTCCTAAAGGAGCCCACGTTCACAAGGCTGCCGTGGGGCCCGGGGAGGGGTCATTGCTCTCCGGAACATCTGTCCACCCAGGTTCTAGAAGCCCAGGGTCCTTAAGAGACAAGAGCTCTGTGGGATGTTTCGGGGACTGAGCTAGACGGAGCCGAGTTAGCAACAGGCCCTCGTGAGCACTGTCCAGAACCAGCTCTGACCTCTTTCCTAGGAGGAAGCTGCCCTCTGGTGGCGCAGCGTGCTTCTGTAAGTCAAGGGGAGGAAAGAGCAAGCTCTGGCCCATGAAGCTACCAGCTGAGGCCGGGCCTGGACGAGACCAGGTAGAAACAAACTGAACAAAAACACAGTGTGGGCGGAGTTGCGTTTTTTGCTCTCCACGTGCCTCGGGGAAGGCAGCTCACACTGACCCACGGCCCACTGGGTTCCAGGCACTTAAAATAGTGTATACTTCCTGGCCCCTTCCTTCCTGGTAGGCACTAGGAGCTCTGTTTTACAGGTGAGAAGCTGTAGCACAGAGAGGGTCAGCAATCTGCTCAAGGGCACACAGCTATGAAGTGGCTGGCATGGGATCCAAACACTCGGACTCCAACCTTCTCTTCTTGGTGCGGCCCCACGCTGCCCTGAGGGTAGACAGCCCCTCGATGCATCACACTCAGCTGGCACCTCCCCGGGTCTGCCCCCAAAGATCTCCCTTTTTTTACCAAGGATTAACAACAAGCCCTAACGTCATTATTTTTCCATGGCATTGGTTCTGAAATTCCATTTCCAGATTCCCACCTGTTTTCTATGGCTTGGGAATCCTTCAGTGAATAACTAGGCTGCTTTGTATGATTCTCGCTGATTGGATGTTTTTTAAGCTCCCCTGGAATCCTGCCTCTCCTGTTCCTGGTGAATGCGTGGCCATGGTCCCCCGAGGCACCCTGTTATTTATTGCAAGTGAATGCTACCGCATCTACTAACCTGGTCGTGAACTTGTTCCCCTTCCAGAATTAGCTAGGATTACGGAAGGGGGTGGGGCGGGAAGGGAAGTGCTATTTACTGAGCTCCTGTTACTACGTGATGGACGCTGTGCCCAGCTGGGCAGGCTCTGGATACCTATTCCCTCTGGCCCCTCCTTACCAAGGAGCCGTCACGCCTCATCTCACTGAACCCTCTCCTGTGACCCAGGGTGTCCCTGGCCTTTTCCCTAGTTCCAGGTGAGAAAAGTGCCGTTCTCACAGGCTTGGTAACTTTCCCAGGTCACCCAGCAGAGACCAGAGTCACACCCTTCTGGGTGTCATCCTGGGCCACCCGTCCGCATTCCAGCCCGGGGAAACTTCGCTGGGCTGGTCCAGCCTGGCTTCCAGGAACTGCGGCCCCGAGGCCTCCGTCTCGAGAGCTGGGCCCGGCCCTCCCGGGAGGGGGCCTGTCTGCCGAAACTCCAGGGTTGCGGCCCAACCGCTATACGACAGCCCGAGTGGAGGGGGCTCTGGGGTTCTGAATAGTTCAGGGCTCCTGAAGGGTAAAGGAAGAGGGAGAGGGGTCACAGGCGAGCGAGAGCTCAGCCGTGAGCCGTCTGGAATGCCACCTTGTGGTAAATTTACTCAGCTGAGGGGGACATGATACCCGTGCACAAATTCCCAAATCTCAATTACATTTCTAAATAATGAGTCCCTGACAAACACTGTAGGAGAAGTCCTCCAAGTACGAAGCAGGAAAACACCATCACACCCTTTAAAATACGCACGCCTGAATGCAGCGTGGTCTCTCACTAAGCTAACTATCTAACTGTGCCCTTTTCTCATACAAAAGCAAGGCCCAGTCCCCACGATGTTTCCTCCTGAGATGGGGAGGGTAGAGATTAAAATTGTACTTTATTTTATTTTTTAAAAGATTTTATTATTTATTTTTAGAGAGGGAAGGGAGGGAGAAAGAGAGAGAGAGAGAAACATCAATGTGCGGTTGCTGGGGGTCATGGCCTGCAACCCTGGCATGTGCCCTGACTGGGAATCGAACCTGCGACACTTTGGTTTGCAGTCTGCACTCAATCCACTGAGCTACACCAGCCAGGACAAAATTGTACTTTAGATACTTGTAGAGCGTTGACAGTTTTCCATCAGGCAAGTGTTACTTCTGCAATTTTTGTGTGTGTTTTTTTTAATGCTCATGAGCTATTGGGAAACCTCGTTAATGTTTCTACGTCAGTCTCCCTGGTTTTCCTTCCATGGCAGGAGAGCCAGTCCAGATAGCCCTGACGCTGGACGTTGCGAGCATTTCCAGCATTTCAGAGAGTAACATGGTGAGTGCGGCCCCGGCACCTGCCGCCTGACGGGTCCCTCTCCTTGTGTTTAAGGGGATACAGGGAGGGACACAGAACAGGCTGATAGCCCTCCTGCCCTTGGAATGGCAGAAGGTAGTGGGGACCTAGCCCCAAACTCAAGACCCTGGAAGATGCTTATAGAATAGATCTGAGGAGTATCAGGAAGAAAATGGATTCGAAGGCTGGGAGGGGACACAATGAGGGAGTGAAATGGGGACATTTAGCGAGGGTTAAAAATCGAGGAAAAGAATAAACACGCCGTGAGGAAGCTGGAATAGCACACGGCTCCTCCCAGAGCCGGAGACCAGCTGGCAAAAACCAACAGTCACGTAACTGCTTCCGACCAGCCCGTCCCTTAAGAGAACACGTTATAGGCAAGTTGACCCCGATGGCGGCGGTTTGCCATGGGGCCCCACTGTGCATTCAGGCTGAACCCAAGACCCACTACGCGCTTCACTCACGAAAACCTCCGACAATTGGCTGGGGCCCTTGTGATCCCGGGCAAGTAAGTTAAGGCCCTGAGCGTGCGCCCGTGGCTTCCCCTTTGCCAGTGGGAGTTCTTCTCGAGAATAAATAAGGTGCTTTGTCCACCTACGGCTCCAGGCCATCTCCCCAGACAAACTTTATTCACCCACTGCAGTGGACCTGCATACTTGACCTGCGTGGAGGTGGGGAGGGACATGAGACTCGACCCCTCCGATTTCGGAGTCTCTCTCTCGTCACCTGTCTCTACCCCTGGCTGCCCCATCAGGACTACACGGCCACCATATACCTCAGACAGCGCTGGACGGACCAGCGGCTGGTCTTCGAAGGCAACAAGAGTGTCACCCTGGACGCGCGCCTCGTGGAGTTCCTCTGGGTGCCGGACACGTACATCGTGGAGTCCAAGACGTCCTTCCTCCACGAGGTCACTGTGGGAAACAGGCTCATCCGCCTCTTCTCCAACGGCACAGTCCTGTACGCACTCAGGTGAGCAGGCACCCGTGGCCCGGGCTGGGGCGCCAGACGGGTGGACGAAGAGGCAGAGATTCATCCTGAGTCGTTCTCATGAGCCCTGCAGTAGCCACGCCGAGGTCCCCCTGCTCACACCCCTGCCTCCTCCCATCCTGCTCCCCGTGCCAGAAGAGCCCACCCTCCGTTCAGTTTGGCTCGACGACATCTGCAGCGCAACTGCTCTGCGCCGGGCCCCGTGCTGGCCACGGAGGACACGGAGGGAGGAGGGCACTGTCCTGACTCAGACACATGAGCACAGGAAGTCAGGGTGCGGGGCCCCGAGCTGGGGCGTAGGTGATGGGTTTGGGGAGGCGTGAGAGGGTGCCTTCACGGGACTCTGCGCTGACGTCTAAAGAGCAAGAAGAGGTTAGCAAGGGAAGGAGGTAGGGAATGGCAGGAGCCAGCGGAGACGCCCATACCAGGACCTTACCTTTCCTGGGGCTCGTAGGGCTGGGGTAGCCCCAGAATGCACCTCTACTTGCCCCCGCCGCTTTTGTACAGAGTCAAAGCGCAGGGCCCCAAGGCCTGTGCCATCTGCAGCCATGGGCTTCCCTTTGCCCCTTCCCCAAATCCCTGGGGCCAGACGATCCTCCCAACCAGTCGTGCATCAAGGCTCGAGTGGACAGGAGCAGCAAAGGTGCTCGGTAGTGGCCCACAGGGGATGCGGTAGGGGTGGGGTAGGGGTGGCGCTCATCTCTGCCTGTGCAAACCGAACACTCCCAGAGGCCTGGGGAGAGGGCCAGGGACCAAGCGCTCTTGGGTCTAATCTTTAATCCCCAATAAGAGGCTGAAGCTGTCGAACAAAGACCGAGCTAACCCAGGAAGTGAATTCCTGGATTAGTCATCTCATCCCCCTCGGCAGCACTGAATTTTGCAAAGCTCAGCCAAAACCCCGACTCCTCTTTCCAGGAGACCTTATGAGACCTCTCCCTCGACCCCAGCTCCAGTCCACACTGATGCCCCCCTTCCCCGTGTTCCCATAGATGCGTGTGCGGGTGTGTGCACACGCCTGTCCGTGTCGCAGCACATAACACATCTGCCACGTACGAGGCTTACAAAAACGGGTGGTGGTTGATAGCCTGGCTCTAGAGTCAGCCAGATTTGGGGGCAAGTCCCTGCTGGGCCCCTTTCCTGCAACCTTAAGGCAAGTTACTCGACTCTCGGAGCCTCGGCTTCCTCAGCAGCAGCAGGAGAACAGTAAGAGGCCCGACCTCACGGAGCCGTCAGAGAAACTCGGAGATGAAGTGCACGAAGCAGTGAGCCTGGGGACTGGCTTGTGGTCGGTCCGTTGTTCTTCTCCCTCTCCCTTGAGGAAGTGGGCACCATGCCATCATCATTCCCACTTTCCCGAGTGCCCAGCACTCTGCTTCATAAATAAACGTGCTTCGTAAAAGTGCGTGACCCTGAAGAAGTAGGAAGGTCAAGGTCTGCCCGTTGAAATCCCCACTGTGAGGGCTTAGCTGATGCTTAATTGAACGTCTCTGGGTGTTGGTCCCTCAGAGCCACAGTGCCCGGTGCCCTCTGATGCCCTCCACTTCCTCTGCCCGCTGACCCCCCGGGAGGCAGGGACCTGGGGGGCTGTTCAGTCTCCTACCCGGGCTCCAGCCCCAGCTCTGTCACCGAGAGCTGAGCGAGCCTAAGGCGGCAGCCCCCACGTCTGCTGTCTATGGTGAGGGTGGCGACAGTGATCTCCGTTCTGGCTTCTCACGGTTTGCCATGAGGACGAAATGTAATAACTGGATGCAAAAGCATCTCAGACAAGCCGGTGAGTGGTTCTGTTCTGCGATACTGCTGGAAGCTTGCCTCTGAACTGCCAGCGTTCCAGCTTCCTCCACCCTGGACCCCGGATTTAACCGAGGGGCACAGGTGCTGCTTAGCCCAGAAAACCTCAGGCACGCTTCGAATGCAGGTTCCAAGTCACACACTCACTGTAGGACTCAAGGTGAAAGTCCCCTTGGAGTGGCCCTTGAAGGGGCATGCGCACTTTCTGTAGCATCTTCATAACCCTCCCGAACCCATTCCCCCTTTCGCAGGATCACGACGACTGTCGCGTGTAACATGGACCTGTCTAAATACCCCATGGACACCCAGACGTGCCAGCTGCAGCTGGAAAGCTGTGAGTACCCCCCCACACACAGGCCCCTGAGCTGATCGTCCCCAGTGACTTAGACCCGAAGATTCACAAAGAGTGCGCGGCACATGGTGGCCTTCCTTTCCTCGGCATCGATTACATCCGATTTGGCCCTTCTGACCGCACAGCCAGAGAGACTTAGAGATGCTCAAAGACAAAACTTCCAAAATTACGTCTTTTGGGGAAAGGCCATTGTGCATTGTCATAGAATGTTTCCACCAAAGGGGGGACAAGCCAGCCAGGGAAATGGGGGTCACTGGGACTAGGAGTGGTACCCAGAATCTGCTAAGGCGTGGACATAGCAGGAAGGACACAGCAGAGATTAGAAGCGGCAAACATACAAAGTGGCCCTGGACATGCATCCCACAGCTGCTCTCAACCTTCTGAAAGAAATGCCATGATGTAACAAAGCTTAGCACAGTCCTGCCGGCACGCAGGTCTCTAAACTGGAGTCTGGGGAGCTGCTCACGGTGAGGACGAGTGTTCACCCCCCGCCGATGTGTGTCAAACGGCATGGCTGAGCAATCACCGTCCTTCTGTAGCAAACTACTGGGAAATGCCCGCCAAACTCGGGAACGTGGCACCTGTGGCGGGTGTCCCGGGAAGACAGAGCCGTAGACTGGAGTCACTGGGGAATCGAGGCGTGGCCTGTGCGAGGAAGAGAAGCTCCGGCCAGGCGCTGGGGACCAGTGGGCACTCGAGCCCGCAAGTGGCCGTGTACGAACACCACCGTTACAAGGCAACGGTCATTTTTCAGAGGCAGGCATTTAATTAAAGACTCAGACAGGCAGATTAATTACCTTATTGATTAAATGCGTGCATAACCTTCTGGAAGCAATACAGCTGTTTGGGGGCAGAATAAAGCTGGAGGTTATCGAGATGAGAACTCATTGCCGGCCCCACACGGCAGAAGTAATTGCCCTGCCCACACGGCTGTTCTTGCCCCGAATCCCAGGAGTGAGATTCTCCCGGAAACTCCAGCACTCTGTCTGCATCCCTGGCGAGCCGAGGATGCTCTCGCTGCATGTTTATGAGCAGTTATTTGGGTACAGAAACCTCTCCAAGGGTTTCATCCTGAACGTCATCCCTGGAAAAGAATGGATACCCCTCCCACAAAGCACACTGTCCAAGGAGGGGCTGGGATGCCTCACTTTTTTAGATATATATATTTCTGTTATTTCTTTGGGCTCCTAGGACTATTTGGACAGCTACCTGCAGGAAATTTGGGGGTGCTTCTAAGGGAAGCCCACAGAGAGTTTTTACCTGGAAGCTCCCTCAGAGCTCATGGCTGCTTCCCTGACCTGGGATGAGAGTTACTTGCTTCTAGACAGCGGATAGCACAGCTAAGACTCCGCAGAATGCTAGTTCTGGCTGTGGTGTCCCATGCCCCGTAGGATGGGCAAACACAGGCAGTATGGTTCCATGTTTCAGACCCCAGGTACCGGAATCCCGGGGCTTTCCCCGTCGCTGGCTGTGTGACCCCAGGTGGGGAGAGCTCACATCTCTGTACCCCAGTTTCCTCAGGAGTAAAGTGGGAAAAATAATAGTATCTGGCTCAAAGAATACTTTTTTCACAGCGTCCTTGGGGTGTATTTACACACCAGAGATTCACCCATGTTAAGAGTACAGTTCAAAGATGTTTGGTGAGTTGGCCGAATTGTGTGACCACGGCCACATGTTATCGTGAGAAGGTTTCCGTCGCCCACAGAGACCCCTCGCGCCCATTTCCGGTCACTCCCACCGCCACCACCAGCTCCCAGGCAACGGCCAATCGACTTTCGGTCTCTGTGAATTTGCCTTTTTGGGACATGACGTATAAATAGGAAGAATACAATATGTGGCCTTTTGCATCTGGCTCCCTTCGCTTAGCATGATGCTTCCGAGGCCCACACGTGCCGGCACCTGTATCAGCGCTCCGCTCCTTTTCTCTGCTCGATTCCCCGCGGTGCCACAGAACGACACAAGCGGCACGAAGCCCCTGGCTTGTCCCCACCTTTTAGCTCTGATGGGTGACGCCGCTGTGGGCATTTGTGTGCAGATCTTTGGCTGGACGTGATTTGATTTCTCTTGGGCAGATGCTTAGGAGTAAATGCTGGATCAAATTACATATAGATACACACATATATATATATATCAACTATAATCCATCCCAATTGCAGAAAATGGAAAAGGCCGGCACAGGAAATCTAATCAATGTCGTAGTAACTACATGCAGTGCCAAGCAAGCACTAGACTTATTGGGGGGATCGCTTCGTAAGTTATGTAAATATCTAGCCACTCTGCTGTACCCCTGAAACTCACATAGCACTGAATGTCAACTGTAACTGAAAATTTCTAAAAAAAAATTCAGTGTAAGGACATGAAGAAAGATAGGAATGTCTACCTTGCAGGTGTGTGAGAACATTCGAGAACACATGTGTAAAGGACTTAACACACGTGTTTACTAAAAGGCAGCTCTCAGTACTGTCACCAGCTCTGCTGGTTAAACTGCTTTGAGGTTTATCAAAGGTCTGTGCTCACAGACGTCCATGAAGTGGCCGGCTGCAGGGCTTTGGGGGTTTTGTCTTTTCCACCCGAGTGGAAATGGGAACGGACCGATTGTGAAACCCCCCGAAAACACTGCCGGAGACGCCAGACTGTCCTGGGGGCACACATTGTGTGCGTTTGCGTATATGTGTCCAATAAATATTTAACCAGTGAGAGAGGCCACTTCTGGAGGCTCACCACCTACCAGGTGCGTGCACTTTGCACTGAACCGCTTCTCCGTGGAAGGCACGCAGCCCCCCCCACCCCTTGCAGGCCATCTCATTCTGAGCAGGTGCTGCAGGGGCACGTGAGCGATCATGCCAAGGTTTCCACGGAATCGGCCCTGGACTTAGCGCCAGCAAGATGGCGCTCCTGCTGCCTGCGGAGCACAGCGCAGAACAGCATTGCCCAGGCCGCTCCTCCTGCCCCCTTCTCACGCTGACCGGGGCTCTGTTTCACCCGCCAGGGGGCTACGACGGCAGCGACGTGGAGTTCAGCTGGCTGCGCGGGAACGACTCCGTGCGCGGGCTGGAGAACCTGCGGCTGGCTCAGTACACCGTGCAGCGCTATTTCACCTCGGTCACCCGGACGCAGCAGGAGACAGGTACCTGGCGGGACAGACTGGACCAGCGCAAAACAGCTGGGCCAGAGATAGCATTTCATCCCCACGGACGTCTCCCTGCCGGGCCCAGAGGCCCCTCTGCAGGGTGGTGGGGTGGTAGGGGTTGGGACTGGCACTTGCACCTGCTCTGCACCCGGTACCGATGTGGCTCCCGAGGGGCTCAGCGTCTGGTGAGGGAGAGGACAAGGACACCAGCGGCTACGATGCAGCAGGTGTAGCATGACAGAGGAAGGCACGGGGAGAGGATCATGGGTGGGGGTCATCAGCACCCTCGTAAACCCCACTCCACACACCAGCATTTCCTTATGTAAAAACTGCAATGTCCGCTCGCGATTAGCTTGGTGTTGGTGGATAACAAACAGCTTAATGTGAACACACGCAGCCGAACGAAACGCCCCACAGGGACAAAACCGCTCTGCTGTGGCAGCCCGCGTGATTTCCCACCTCTCCTCTGCCCTCTCAGGAAATTACACGCGGTTGGTCTTGCAGTTCGAGCTTCGGAGGAATGTCCTGTATTTCATTTTGGAAACCTACGTCCCTTCCACGTTCCTGGTGGTGCTGTCCTGGGTTTCGTTTTGGATCTCCCTCGATTCGGTTCCGGCCAGAACCTGCATTGGTGAGCGGCTCCAGCCCAAGATTTCTGAGAACTCGGGTATTGGGTCCTCCCCCCACCCCCTGTTCGCCTCCCAGTGTTCTCATTGATATTCACAGGGCAGTGCCGGCAATTGGTTCCCCGAGAGATTCTTTCACAGAGAGAAAGAAAAAGACGCAGAGACTGCTCTAGCAGTAGTGCGTTTTTAAACTGGCATTTTACGGCGACAGAGAAGGGAATATTGAGATTAGATGGTCTGTCGTCAGTTATTTTGCATCCTGAACACCCCCTACCAATGAGAAGGCAGGAAGTGAAACATTTAGGGAACCTATCACTCATATCTGTACAAAACGGACCAGTCACCCCTGTTCCAGACGGGCACAGATTTTTCAGAATGAGCTAAGTTCCATTCCTGAGTCCTGACCCGCCTTGCCAAGTCCCAAGTCTGCCGGCCAACGGTGGAGGGTCCACTGGCCCCTGACGTGGGAACACGGCCCCGTGTTTTCCCAGGAGTGACCACCGTGTTGTCCATGACCACGCTGATGATCGGGTCCCGCACTTCTCTTCCCAACACCAACTGCTTCATCAAGGCCATCGACGTGTACCTGGGCATCTGCTTCAGCTTCGTGTTCGGGGCCCTGCTGGAGTACGCGGTCGCCCACTACAGCTCCTTACAGCAGATGGCAGCCAAAGACAGGGTAAGAGTGCAGGGCCCTGTGCTGGTCAGCAGAGGTGACCGGGACCCGGTCCCGCCCCCCAGGGATTCCCTTTGCTCCAGCGATCCTCACCCTGGTTCAGGTAGCAGCTTCTGGAAATCAGGACACCCCTTGAAAAAGACTGTCCTTTTCACCAAATCCTGTGAGACAGTGATATGTTTAATTTTCCAGCAGAAAATGACTGTGTTATCCATATGCAACACAAAGTCACAACTATGAGAACAAGCATCCACAAAAACCCCAACATTAAACCAAACATGATCAGCTGCTTACAAATTTCAGATTAATATATATTTACTCTTTAATTCTTTCGCTGCACCGTTGTTTTCTTAAATTATACAAATTGTGGTTTACTGGAAAATATATGGAAAAAATCACATTGGGGCAAATTTCTGGATTCACGTGTTTTTCTGGAAATGAGGCTCAGCTCTCAGAATAATACTAATGGCTGTTATCCACTAAGCACGTGGATGCAGCATTTAGCAGACAGCTCTGCAGATCTGGAGTGGGCGATGCTGTTATTCTTCCCCACTGTACAAGCCGAGGACCAGGGGTCCGTGCCCCCAAGCAGGACAACGGGACTGCCGAGTCTGGCTAACCAGCCAGTTTCTGACGCCCTCAGTGCCACTCTCTAGCAAACCTGATTATGCAATATTTAGGCCTCAATGTTTATAAATACCCACTTATTTATTTTGCCAAGTCAAGCCTTTCAGCTAACTGCGTTGTCTGTGACCCAGGAGATGCGGAAGGAAGTGGAGGAGGTCAACATCACTAACATCATCAACAGCTCCATCTCCAGCTTCAAACGGAAGATCAGCTTTGCCACCATTGAGATTTCGGGGGACAACGTCGACTACAGCAACCTGACTATGAAAACCAGCGACAAGTTCAAGCTCGTCTTCCGAGATAAGATGGGAAGGATTGTTGATTATTTCACCATTCAAAACCCCAGTAATGTTGATCGATATTCCAAGCTATTATTTCCTCTGATTTTTATGCTAGCCAATGTGTTTTACTGGGCATACTACATGTATTTTTAAGAGTACGTTGAATAATTTGCATGCCATAGGACTTCAACAGGATGAGATGAAATGGTATTCAGGCCAAGCGTGCACCCCAACCCAATGGTCCTACAAGTACCAAAAGCAACAATTGAGCATTTCTTCTCAAAGAATGGATGACCCCCCTCAACCATTATTTAAGCTTGTAGGGGCCCTAGCATTACAAAGTATTGGAATAGAAACATCAATCCATTTTTTTTTATCTTTACAAAATCCATGCCCATGGAGCCCAAGTTATAGACCTACCCAGGACTGGCCGACTGCTCAGTGGCTCCCTGGGCTGTGTTCATTACCTCATTTAAAAAAAAAACTGAGAAGGAGGCCATTACAGGCATTGAGTAACCCTCAAGGGAAAAAGGTTGCTTGTGAACTAATCATACATGCTATTTAATAAATCTCTGCAATGCTTATAAAACACATTGATCCTATTTAGGGAGCAACATTTTTCAGTTTTTGTTTCTGATTAAAATGAAATGTGGCCCTAAGTCAATGGACCAGAGGTCACTGTATTAACTCAATACCAAGGGGAGTTTTTAATACAGTATTTAATACCACACCAGAATTGTCCCCAACTTCCAATAAGTCTTACCATTGAAAAGTCCAGTGCAATTGATGAAAAGTTTTGGGGGTCAATAACCTCACACATAAACCCCCTTGTTTCTAAGATACAGAATGGCTCCGCCAAACTGGAAGGGCTCTGGGGCTTCATTCCCCACTTGACATGTCTCATCCCTTTACTAGTATCCGACACCAACCCTCAGCATCGCTAAAGCCCTTCCCCCATATCAGGGATGGAGATGGAAGCTGTTGTATTTTTCAGCTTAGTGCTAGGAGTCTTAGTGCGGACTGTTGCCGGGGAGACCGGCCGCATTGAGTCCGTTTCTCTCTGCTCCCCTTTCCCAGCCGCAGACCCCCTGCATCCCTCTGAGAAGAGCTTTGGTCCCCACGCTCTGATGACCAGGAGTGATGCTTATCAGCCAGTCACCCGCGTTTCCCGGGAGCATGCGGTGCAGCACCAGCAAGCTTGGCTATGCCCAAGGCCCGGATGCATGTAGCTGAGTTGCTCTGAGTAGCTTGGCCCTGTGTCCTGAACTTTCTGCGTGACAAGGGGACTTGTTACAGAACCTACGTTCAGGCTGCAGGTGGACCAGCCCCTCTCACCCTAAGATCACAAGAACACGCACGCACCTCTCTTTGCTCCTTGGCTACGTTCAGCCAGCAGCATCCCGAGTGGCCATCTGTGAGTGTTCTGTGATAGAGCTTCTGGTTCAGTCTCGGCCATGTGGAAGAATCTTGCCGCCTTTCATTCTTTAGCTTCCTTTTCGAATAAACGCATGCCCTCAGAAAGAACCCACAGCTTCGGCAGACCGTCTTTCTTCTATGATCCCCTGCACTGCAGACTCTCACTCTTTTTTCTGTTGTGATACTTCTCACGATTTAGTTTCTGTGGGTTTGATCACCTGAGCTTTTAACAAAAGGTTTCTAATAGGAACGGGGTTGCTAACACAGGTGGAAGGTAGTTGTACGGTTCAACTGTATTTGTGATCTTTTCAAAAAGGTTTGAAAGGAAGCATCTTTCCCGAAACCCCGTATCAGCGTTATATGAAGAACACCGTAAATATGTGAGACTGTGAAATAAAGGTACCACATTCGCTACCCACCAAACCAAGCGGTCATCTGTAGGGTGAGTGTTGTAGCAGCCCGTTTGGAAAAGGTACATGTCACAGAACACACTTAGTAGGCCCACACCCTTCCATCCTCATGTCCCCCTGCCTCAGACAGTACACACGCACACGCACACACACGTATACCCCTAGGTTTTCCTGCCAAGGAAGGTACCCGCCAGTCACACGGACAGTCAACGTCCTTCTCGCCTCCCTGCCACGCGACACTGGCCCTGCAGTGAGGCAGCTGGGCCTGGCGCCACTGAAAGGCCCAACTCTCCGAAGGGCCACAGACTCCCTTCCAAGCCTTCTTTATTGCTTTGAAATTCTCTTTTGTTTTTGCTGAATGAGATTTTTATAGTTTGAGGATACACTTTGGGGGGCGGGAATTCTTGGATGTTGTATCATTCCGAACTTGAAATGGGCTGCAACGTTGGAGTTCTTGGTAAAAACTCCTAATATCTTCTGTATCTTCCCACGTACCCTACCTACCCAGATTGGTCCAGGACTCACTTGATTCAAAACAGTTACTTCTAGGGTAAAAAAAAATTTAAGACTAACCTCTTGATAAGCAAGGCTAAAGCATAATGACTGCCAGGGTTCAAGAAGGGTTTTGTACAAGGAACATGCTGTTCTTCCGTGCACTCGAATAAGTGAACTGAATAAAAATAAACAGGAAAGTGAACTTAGAGAAAGTGTCGTTTTAGAAGGAAGAAAATGTGCAAGCTGAGTAATGAAGTGCAGTGGGACAATGACATACTGAGATACACCTCTAGTCTCCATCTGGAAATTTCCCATGAGCATACCGAATCGCCTCTCCCCGCTGATCTTGCCATCCACGCGCCTGAGAGCAAGCGGACGGCTCTACTCGGCCAGGCGATCCTGGTCCTGGGAGGCCGCGGGTGCAGGGAGGCTCCTCGGGCTGCAGCAAAGCAAAGTGTCCTACCAGGTAGCGCTGACAGAAAAACGTATGGCTAAGGATATTCATGGGGGTCTACAAGGTGGAGTTCCCAAACTATGCTTTCTTTGGGGGGGGATATGAAGGGAAGTCACGTGACTCACAGCGCTCGGTGACTGGGGCGTGAAGTAGGCTTTGATCGCCCCACCTCCTGACTTACAACGGTGCCTTTCTAGAAGTGAGAGAGGAAACCGCCCCACTTGGAAGACTGAAAAGGGGAGCAGAACATAAAAGGCGAGTTAGCAGCTGCGTGTGGACCCAATGTCTCTGTGATCCTTGGGGACTTCTGCCTCTGGGGGCCAGTTATCTCTGCTTCTCTAAGCCCTGACTGCAGCCAGGACCTAAATGGTCTTGGAAGGTCAGGCACTCCACACCCCGCATTCAGGGCCTGTTTCCTATTAAAGTGAAGGCATGAATTTCATTAAAATCCTCGAGGAATACGATTTCAGACTCCACCATCTGAACCTCCATTTTCATCTGGAGATACAACCAGCACAGAAACTCAGTTAATGCGCTGTGTGGGGAAATCAGCAAGCCTGAGACTGCTGTCTTTCTGTTGCCAAGATGGCTTAGGTGGCATCCGAGAATCTGGATTTGGGGGGAAGTCCCATTATTCCCTGCTTGATAAGAGTGGCTCACGGTGGCTAAACTGTTTGCACAAACCGTGTGACTTAGGCTGAAGACCTGCCGCCCTCCGGAAAGTCTGAAATTCTGGTTCACGCTAAGCAGAAGGTGCCTGTAAGACCAACCAGCCCTGATAAAAAATCTCAGAAACTGCCCTGGCTGGCGTAGCTCAGTAGATTGAGCGCGGGCTGTGAACCAAAGTGTCGCAGGTTTGATTCCCAGTCAGGGCACATGCCTGGGTTGCAGGCCATGACCCCCAGCAACCGCACATTGATGTTTCTCTCTCTCTCTCTCTCCCCCCCTTCCCTCTCTAAAAATAAATAAATAAAATCTTTTAAAAAAAGAAAAGAAAAAAATCTCAGAAACTGACCCTCTAATGAACTTACTGATGGATAACTTCCCGCACAAGTTGTTGCAATTCCGTGTTGGAGGGATTAAGCGCATCCTGGAGACCATGTGAGAAGACTCTCAAAGCTTGCGCCTGGTTTCCTCTAGATTCGGCCCCACATGCCCTTCCCCTTTGCCGATTGCACTTCGTATCCTTGGCTGGAATACATCGTCGCCAGGAGTTACCTGTACATGCTGAGTCCTGTGAGTCCTCCCGGCGAGTCGTTGAACTTGGGGGTGGCCTGGAGCACTTCTGACATGCACGCTTTGAAACAGTGGTCGCTAAGCCTGGCTGAGCATAAGATTCCCCGAGGAAGCTTTATAGACAAATCCCAGAGTCTCACCCTGGACCTACGGACTCAAGATCTATTATCTTTTCACAGCTCTCCAGATGTTTTTTAAAATGTAAAATCAGATAGGAAGACAGGTGGCAAATGCCTCGGTGAAGGACAATCGGTGCAGAAAAGCTATATTTTCTAGGAAGAAAAATAATACAGTGTGTCTGCCACGTGGAAGAGGAGAGCCCAGCTCAGTATGACGTGATTATTGACTGTGAATAGTGTCTACAGCAGGCAGAAAGCAAAGCCTTTCCTTTGTCTCATTGAACCTCTTATGGTAGTTCCAAGAAGGAACAAGATAGGTTCTACTTCCAATAAGGCTGCAGCACGACAAGAATTCAGCCAATGGTAAACGTGTCTTTGGAGAATTGGGCGGGAATACAGAGAAGCAGCGGTCTCCCAGTTTTGGCATCACTAAACCGCGACAGTCATGCAAATGAACTAAACACCTTCACAGGAAAGCAAAAAGCTAGACGACAGGCAGCCAGAGACTTTGGCTGCTGCAAAGAGAGGGGGGTGGGAGTCAGTTGGCTTGAATGATGCCTCCTAGTTGCCTGTCAAGGAGGTTAAGAAAATGACCCCAAAAGGTTCCTGGAGAACTCACAGTCGCAAGGGGAGAGGGCTGGACAGAGAACTGAGGTCATCAAAGGTGTGATGTGAACGGCCATCTCCAACTCCTTTCTCATTTTTAGGGCCTCATTGACTCTGGCCCGCCAACAAATTCTCCAACAGAAGCCTTTGAATGGCATTGTGTTTATTATGTCATGGATTAAGACAATCACTTAATTTCTAAATTTTAGAATGCCTCGAAGCTGGTTTTTTAGATTGAATGCTTTTACGGGCATGTTTAACAAACAAAAGGATGTGGCATGATGATGAATCAAGTTGATTTCGATGAGACTTCTCTTTAGGGGAAGTAGGAAAATACATCCCTGATGGATTTTGCTTTTCAATAACAAGTTATTGAACCAATTCATGGTAATATATCCTGAAGAATCAAAAAGCCTTCATTCATAAATCAAATTGTATCTACGGATCAAAACAAAGGAAACGGGGGAGGGTGACAGAGGGAAGTGATAACCACAAATATTAGCAATAAGCGCCGGCCTCAGATGCCATGGCATTTAAAGCCACAAACCTTAGAATGTAATAATAAAGTGAATTTTCAGAGTGTAAAGGAGTCCCAGGAGGAATTATCCATTTAAAAGAATATGAGGTGTACCTTTTCTGGGTTTGTATATTTCTTAAATCCTAACAAAACATTCTAATCCAGTTCGCAGAGGGACTCAAAGGTAAGTTCCCAGGAAGGGAAATAGAACTTTATTTTACCTACTTCTGTAGTAACTTAATATAACTTATCTAGTTATCTTTTCCCACGAAGCATCCAATCGCCTATCCTTTCATGCTTATCCCAAAAGACTAGTCCAGCTGGACTTAGTCGGCAAACCCAGGAATGAGGGTCCAGAGGCCTTGGCTCTGCCATGAACTGAATCTCGATCTGCCTGTTGCTAATAAGTTAAATGGAACAAGAATATTTTCCCTCCCTCTCTCACCAGTTCGTGACAGGGTTAAAAGTGAGATTGTAAGTGTGGGAGTGTTTTGGAAACGTATAACAGAAGCAGGTCCCAATTCATTTGACCCGTGATCACGCGCACCTTACATCCCCTAGAAAACGAGGATAGGGAAGAAGTCCAACCAACTTATCTGACATCTTAGTACTGGAGGATCAGAACATTGAAGGACGCTTCTGAGATCCAACACTGGACGCAGCCAGGACCGGGCGCCCCGTCTCCTAAGCCAGCGAGCGTTCTGTCTGCGGACTCCATCACCTCCTCAAACAGTCCCGCCCTGCCTTGCCAAAGCAGCTCCGAGAGATGGCAGCACTCGCGGGGCAGCCAAAGCCACAGCCCCACCAGGGTGCGCCGGCGTTGTCTGCGGCCCACGTCTTGAGGGTCTCCCAACCTGCCGGGACTCTAATACCCCCAGAAATTCAAGGCACAGTATCACCACCATCTTTACTACCAAATCAGAAGATTCTTCCCCAGAAAGGACTAAGACCTTCTAAAGTCATCTTTCAGCATGCAGGGCCCATTCTTCCACTGGTTCCTTCCCACAGCTCCTGCAGAGGAGTTCACAAATCGGGCATTCTGGGCCAACCCCCCTCCCGCCGCCCACTGCCCTTGGATGGATCTCTGACCTCGCTAGCTGCTCCTGGAACACGGTGAGCACGAAAACCCTATTTCATTTCTGCAAAGGTGAGAGATCTGAGACCATGAATCCTCTGGGCACCACACAGGTAAATTGTTTTAAAAATGCATTTGTATGTATAAGCAAGGCCCTCCATGGCAAGGAATCTTTTGCATTTTTAAAGGCGAGTTG